AATCATGGAGAAACACCACAAACATTTTTTGGGTACGTTGCACTTTAAAAGGTGGTAGCAAAAGATGCTCATCTACCTTAGCACATTGCATCTTTCTAGATTCTTAATTGAAGAGGCTCCAAGGATGCATGATGGAGAAGGAGATGTGCAAGATTTGAGTGCTATTGAATCTTGGAAACATTTTGATTTCTTGTATAGGAACTATGTTCTTAATGGTCTTGTATTAAATCTTGTATCGTTCCATGACAGGCCTTGAATCCACCATTTTATAATTATTGAAATTACTCACAAGGAACTTTTTACTAAAATCATACTCTACCTTGTATTTGGATTCAAGGAAATCCCAAAGATCTTTTGCAGATTGGTGATTTTAATATAGATCAAATAGAGAGTCAGACATACCATTCAAGATGTTCCCACGAAATATGTAATCATTATTGTCCCAATTTTCATCTTCTTTTGATATGTTTAATGGTTTCATTTTCCATTTTTTCTGGTGTAGGAGTGGTTAGAACATTAACAACTATCAGAGTGGTGAGAAGGAAGTGTATCTTCTTTTGCCAACAACGAAAGTACGTCACTGCCTTCAAACTTTTCCAGTTTTCTGAAATTAAAACTCATGTCCCTGACAGATCATTGTTATTCCTTCACAAAATTACAAATTTCGTATGTTAGATTTTAGGGAATTTCGAATAATAATTTGAATTGGATGTTTCAAGGATCATGATTCTATCATTTTCCGAAATCTGTAATTCGTCCTTATTACCTAGGGTACACGGATTCAAAAGTGGGATAATCCAGTGACTTCAATTTTGATTACATACCTAATTAGAATTAGAAACGCACAATACTTGTTGTGTGTTTTCAGAGAGACGTGGAAATGCAAAGTAATCAATTTTCAAGTATGAAAGTTGTAATGTTTGCATGGAACATCCATCTTCCTTTTATACAATGAAAATGGTTGTTAGAATGTAGTTACCATTCATCTTGGCGCTAAAATGGCGGTTTGACTTGTAACATCCGGTTTCAGGACGTTTCTTTTGTTGGAAAACTGGACTTAAATTTAATCATGAAAGGTTCTTGGGTCTTAAGGGATGAAGATTAGACCATAAGGAATGAGGTTCTAGGGCTAAAGGTATAAGACTTTAGACTATAGGTTTAGTTTTGGCCTGAAAATAAATTTGGGATTAAGTTGGTTTTTGGCCTTACTGGATCAAGACGTTCGCGACGCAACATGAGATAGTCACGATGTGAAGTCTGTGCAGTCCAAGCCTACGAAATTAGGGTTTTATCCCATATTTAAAGGCTTTATCTCCTAGAATTAGGCCAATTGCAGTCCCCGTCACATCAGAGATCCCTTGGGAGCACATCCTAGCCTCTCTCTCCTTTCATTATAGTGTCTCGTGCTTCTTTACACACCGTGGAAGAGAAGGGAGTGCATCTTGTGAATCAAGAAGTAAGTCAAATTTAACTTTTTGGATATCTTCTGGACCATTGAAAGTCCTTAAGCTTGAAGCTTTGGGAGCTATTAGGTCTAGATCTATGATTTTGTGCATACTTTGGTTACTTGGTTGATGTTTAAGGAACTCCAACCTTAAAGGTTGTATTTTTATGTGTTTTGGACCTATTGTGGTAAAAAATATGAGAAGTTCATCTTGTCATTCGGTCCATGCATGAGTTTATGAGATTTTTGGTGTCATTTTGACCTAGACTTGGTATGATGATGTTAAGGGCATGCATATGGATAAAGTTGGAAGCTTTATCCATTAAGACCATGTTTTGATATGTTTTGGAGGTTTAGAGCTTAGGTCTTAAAGGATTAAGACCTACGTTGGAAGTTCGGTGTTTTTCCAAAATCGTGTCACGATATGAGGTGTAGTCACGCCGTGATGTTTGAGTATATCATGATTATCTTGTCTCCTAGCAGTAGCACCACATTGTTGGTCGTTGCGAGATGGCGTGGACAATTAACTTTTTGACCAAGTTTGAATTTTGGTCAACTGTGTTGGGTTTGGGTCTTGGAGGGGCAAAATGGTATTTTTCCTATATAATAACTTTTATTAGACCTAGAGTCGATAAGGTAGTGTAGATAAAAGTTTTACTTTAATTATTAAATTAGGGTTAATTATTGTGTAGTGACTAGAGGAAGACTCGATGTCACTAGCTTGGTTTTGTGGATTTCATCTTGTTGGTTACTCTGGTGCGATCTCAAAAACTTTCTTATTATATGGATTGTGTGATTATTGTTTGTACGACCACAAATAGCCTCTTAGAGGGAAGTGTGGTCGGTATGTATAGTACTACTAAAGAATAGCCTCTAGGATGGAAGTTCAAGTGTTCTTTAGAAAGATGTATGATCACGAATAGCCTCTCGGAGGAAAGGGTGATCAGGATGATCTGTATAACTAGTAATAGCCTCAAGGAGGGAATTTCTAGTTGTATAATGGTTAGAATTACGCTAGCATATGTTATGTGATAAAATGTAAAGTAATATGTGATTTAATACCTCATGAAGTTTATGTGTTATTGTGTGTATTGCATATAATTTGTATAATGGATGAGTGTTGTGATTACTCATTAAGCCTCAAGCTTACTGTTGATTTATGTTCATGTATCTTCAATTGTTTTCTATTACATTACTATATTAGATGTTTGTTTTGGTTCATATATATTTAATGTTATTTGTTTATCTCCGTTCGTTTATGTTCGTTTAGCATGTTCATGAACATAAACAAATGAGCATGAACAAGGTAATTTGTTAAATGAACAAACATGAACACGAAAATTGGTTCGTTTATCCGTTCTTTGTCATTATTTTGTTCAGCTAACTTAAATGAACATAAACAAGGTCTTGTTTGTGTTCGTTCGTTTACAGCCCTAATCTTTTCACTTGTTAGGTAATAGATCCATGGATTGCATATACACTTGTGAAGAACATTTCACATTTCTGATGATGATACAAACGTAGTATGAAAGTTTATTAATAACAAAACTAACTCATTTCATGAATTTACAATATTACCATTTTGATCATCTTAACAGGATTTCAAATACTTACTTTATATAAAACTTATAGGTCCCTAGCTAACACAATAACAATAAAAATGGAGGATGAATTTTTAATCAAATCGTAAAAACCAAAAAACAAAACTTCAAGAAGTTCTTCTCGTCCAAGCCACAAGGCCGATTATATTCATTAATGATCTTTTTAGGAAATTAAATCATGACGTGCACCTCAAAATCCCGCTCCACTAAATAATATTCCTCCGGCAAAATAACTAGCTCGTGGCATCACACCCCTACATGTGGATTGAGCCTCCTCTAATAGACTTTTTGTTGGATTAGGTGTCTAAGTCCATAACTATGATTGGTATGTACTTGATTTGATAGTAGCATGGTCCTTTTGGGTTGCCTTCACTCTAGCAACTTGATAGGATGACTTTTGGAGAGAGAGGTTAATGGATGATTTAATAATATATTATGAGAATAGTATATTAATTAGAAATCATATTATTTAATTAGTATTTAATCAGAAATTAATTTAGATTTAATTTTGGGATTAAAGGAACCGATTAAAAGAACAGGGGTTGTTTTGCAAATCATTGATAGTTGTGAAACTGGGCTGATGGACTCCTTAATTAGGAGTGGACGAAAATCTATAGGGAGGCCCTATAGATTTTGTCCGAGGCCTATTGATAAAGGGTCCATGGGTTGCTTAAGCCTTAAGCAGGAAATTAGGGTTTCCTCTAGAAACCCTAGCAGCTCTCAGCTATATAAGGACCCCAATGGCTTATGATTTTCGGCCTACACACATACACAAGAACCCTAGCCGAAATTCTGGTGTATTCCCTCCTCTCTCCTCTCATCCTTTGCTAGTAGTGTTTGTGATTCCATTAGAGGTGCAACACCTGTGGTACTTTGCTTTCAAGAAGTCAAGGATCTAAAAGTTACTTGTTATTACTACATAACAAGTCAAGGTAAACATCAAAACCCTTTTGTTATATGATTTTCGAAAATTGTATGCTAGATCTAGGGTTTATTGCTTTGGTATTCAATTGTATGTTCAACTAGTGAAAAAATTATATCCAAAGCAAATAGGGTTGCATGATCACATAGGATGTAGTTATGCTCAAAACCCATCACTTTCCACATCCTAAGCATGTTGGTCTATTCAATGAAAGGATTGGCTCCAGATCTTTATCAGTGCCTAATGTATTTCACTTTTGGCCCGAAAAATATACTTATTTTACTTGGAATAGGAACACCATGTTAAAAAAACCCTCAAGCATGGACAAAACTGCAAGAGACAAGCTTTTCCTGACCAAAACTGAAAAAATAAGTTACAATCAGGGACCAATAATCAGTAGTTGTTTTAGGGTGGGTCAAGTGTTGCACCGACAACACCTACTTTCTCTGTCCGCATGTGGAAAAATTTTTAATTTTTTTTTTACATATTTTTCATGTATCGGCGACACCGTCTCGACAATACCTACTATGTATTCCTACGTCCGCCCCTTGCCAGTAATGTGATTCGCTCATAATCTTATATCTTTTCTTCAGGAGGATGTTAAGATAGATGATCCAAGTTCAGAAGTGTTTAATGGTCGGGGTACAGGTTTGGGCAAGTGTTGTGTGGAAGCGAAAATAGGTTGTTTTGTTTTAATGTATAAATAATGAATAATTAAATATTTTATCATTTCAAATACTTGAAACTATTGTTATAATATTTCAAAACGGTACTGAGGCGATGGTTCCGCTTCAAACTGTATCAGTTTGTATCAAACCGGTCGGAATAGGTTTCAGGCTTTTCTTTTTCCAAACCATTTTTTTGTGCACCTCTAATTTTCATTAAGGGTGTCTTATTTCATACAACACGGGGAAAATGACCACCCATGGTGTTAAGTGGCAAATTTGTTGATATTGGGGGATTAAAAACCACTGGCAGTTTACATTATATACTAGGAAATAAGAAGACAAAAAATAAAAAATTAGATTACAAACTATGTCTGCCTAGCCTTTTGCAAATTTGCAGTGAACACAACCATCTTCACATAATCATAAAACTGAAAAAATGCATGTCTCCCACGACGGTTGAGAAGTAAAGCCCCACATGCCATCCAAAATCCAGTAGCAAAACCCATGCCCCCACCAATATAAAACCATCCCCAAAGTTCATCTGTGTCTTCCCCATCATCCTCACTTTTACCAATTATGGGTGGTGATTCTGATTCTTCATCTCCAGGACATTTTTTGGTAAGCGGAGGTCCACATAGTCCTCTGTTTCCAACATATCTTGAAGGTTGAAAGGACTGGAGCTGAGTGTTTGTTGGGATTCTCCCTGACAAGTTATTAAATGACAAGTCTAGGTAATTCAGTAAACTCATCTGAGACATGCTTGATGGTATCTGCCCCAAGAAATTGTTTCGTGATAAATCCAATGTCAAAAGCTTTTTCATCTCACCAATTTTCCGTGGAATCTCTCCGGATAGATTGTTCCTTGACAAGTTCAGGGCAACTAAGTCAGAAAGATTGGTAATTTGATATGGGATTTGTCCTGTTAGATTGTTGCTTGACAGGTCAATACTCTTCAACAATTTCAGAGTGCTAAAGAATTCGCGTTCATCTCCTTGCCACTCAATCATCGCATGGTCAACATATGGCCCTGGTAAATATGATATCTGAATCTCTTCATCTTGTGAGAATGTTCCTTGGTGAACCATGCTCGTAAGATTACTCAAACATGATGGGATGGTTCCATGGAGATTGTTCATCGACATGTCTAAAATCTGAAGACTAGCTAACTGACATAACTTTAAAGGGATGGTTCCAAAGAAGTTGTTTGATCTTAGGATAAGAACATACAAACCTGATAAGTTTTCCCCAATCCAGACTGGCACATTATAAGAAAACTTGTTGGCCCCCAAATTCAACGAGATTAAACTCGTGCAATTTTTTAAAGACAGAGGCAATTCTCCAGAGAAGTTGTTATCGTATAAATACAATACCTGGAGTTGTATCAAAGATCCAATAGAGGGAGGAAGACTTCCAAAGAGATTGTTGTGTCCGAGATTGAGAACTCTTAGGTATTTGAAATGCCACAAACAGTCCGGGAGTTGTCCGATTAATGAATTATGAGAGAGGTCAAGATATTCTAACCACCCATCAACAATTTGACATATAAAGGAGATTCCTCCAGAGAATTTGTTTCTGGAAAGATCCAATGTTGCCAAAGCGGAAGATAGCTTCGGTATTTGGCCAGTAAAGTTGTTGGAACTCAAATCTATCACTGAATATTCAGCAAAATTTGATAATAAATCTGGTACTTTCCCGTTAATGTTGTTGAAAGAGAGATTCAGATATTCTAATTGAGAAGACCACATGTCCCAAAACTCCAGAGGAATTGTGTCTGAAATTCCAGTATTGGAAAGATCAAGACGGTTAAGATTTTTTAATGTCTGAACCCATTTGGGGAAGCGGGGTCCTAGCAGCTTGCAAGAGCTCAGATCAAGATATTTAACATAAGAGATGTTTGACAAGTGATGTGTGGAAGGAACTGTAAGATTATTAAAGGAAACAATAACAATTTCAAGCATGGGTAGTTCCCACAATTTCTCACCTATACTTCCATTTAAGTGATTATGAGAAAGGTCCAAAGAAGATAGGGATGAAAACTTTTGGATGTCATCCGACAATGACCCTGTAAATTGGCTTTCTGGAGCATACAAGGATTGTAATGAAAGCGATGTGCATCCAGACAAGTTGTTGAGAAAATCAGGAAATTTGACAACAGCAGAGTTATTATTAAATAACAAATATTCCAAACTACAGAGGTTACCAAAATATTTGGGTATCCCATCTAACATGTTGCCAGAGAGATCAAGAGAAAGGAGGTTATTAGTGGTTAATGGGGACAACCAACGATACATGGATGAGGTGAGATTGTTGTCATTGAGAAAAAGCTTAACAATAGATGAAGAAGAAGAGTTGAGAAATGAAGAATATGGATACATGACCTGTGACAGCTCACATCTCTGTAAACTTAACCATGAGAGTTTTGGGAGACTTGAAATTACATCTACCCAATGATTTGCTTTGGACAGGGAAACCCCATCCATTACAAGTACCTCCAACTGAGAGAGATGAGACAACCACCCTACCTTTTCCACTCTACACCTTCCAACAGAATCAAGATGAAGCTCTTGCAAGTTGGTGAGGTTTCCAAACTCTGGAGGAATTGTTCCATAAAGAGAGTTCTCGGAAAGGTCAAGGTAAGTTAATTGACTCAAAGAACCAATGAAGGTGGGAATGGTTCCATTAAAAGAATTGAAGGAAAGAGCAAGAGTATTCAAGTAGGTTAAGTTAAGCAACGAATGGCTAATCTCACCTCCAAGATCATGGTTTCTGATATCAAGCCCTGTGACATGACCTGTTTGGGTGTTGCATGTGACTCCATTCCATTTACAGCAGTCGTGTTGGTCAGCTCTCCATGTAGAGAGAGTATCATTGGGGTCATGAAGGGGAGCTTTGAAAAGAAGGAGAGCATCTCTCTCCTTATCCAAACACTTTTTCATATTTCTATCATCTCCTTCCAATTGGCTGGCAGTTGCAGTCACAAGGAGGAGCAAGAGAAGTGAGAAAATTATAAAAACACAAGGATTCATTATGTAAATAAAAAATCTTAATGATTTTTGGCTTGTATTGATGGATATATGAACTTCCCCATGAGGGTTTATATAATATCGAATGTGAAGATAATATCGAATGATTCTAAGTGGGTGGCTCATATTGGTGTCTGCTTCTGTGGGTCATGCAATAATGAAATTAGAATTGACGTCCAAAGACTTGCAAGTCTTCGAAACTTGTATTTATTATCTATATATAGGTTTTCCTATATTGTGATATTTTTTGGTATTCAAAATTATGTGATATAAATCACAAAACAAACAAACTAATGACATCTAAGTATAAATCTACCTATGAAAATAGTAATTATATTATTTGGGTCTCTGTATAAAAGTGATGTTAAATAAAAATTACTGTTTATTTTAGAACTGTTATCAATTACATAGAGCAAAAGTGCAAAACATTTATTCAATACAAGCAAATAAGAATGTAGAGGCATACATTGAATTGTGTTACCAATTTAACAGTAATTATTTCATGAATCTCGTATTCCCCATCCCTTCTTAAACACTTTATGTTAATGCCCATATAGCACGATTCACAGTTCATCATATCCTCAAAGCATTTGATATCCTGAACAGATTTATGATATCAATTAGAAAAGTTTCAGAATAAACATATCTAATTTATCATGATCTCAACAGGAACATAAATGGAGAACATATAGGAAGAGAAGACATGCGCTGAGAATCGCCGATAGTTTACCTGGTGGAAAACTAAGAAGAAGACAACAGTGGGCCTGGATGTCGGCAGCGACGACATTGGGAAATTAAAGCAACGACTTTCTGTATCGACATCAAAATCTAGCATCCATAATTTTGGCATATAGGCTATTCGGTTTAAATTTAATGGGGGGTGATTAAAGGAGATTTTAGTATTAGATGATTTATCTCATATTTTCTACTAATAACCAAAAAAAAAAATAATGGTTTTTTACAAAAGCTTCCGGATATGTTGATGCAAAATCTGAAAATGTTAAAGATATGCAAAAGCTTTTAAGTACTATGTATTTTGGTAAAAAAAAATGAATCAAGATAATTTTGTTAAGCGTTATGATGTTTTTAAATGTTTCGAGATGGTGGAATGATGTAGAAAGCAAACAACAAAAGATATTACAAAGAAAAACCTTGATCAATTAAGATATCCGACATAAAACCTTGTGAGATGAAAATGTCATATTGCCTATGTGTCTTTATCGATAAGAATTGTTAGTACATAATATTTGAGAGTGAGAGTACATTGAGTGACCAGTCTTAAAGTGTTAGGATGTGTGTGTTTTGTGTCATCGGAATATGCTATTTATACAAATCATATTAGTTAACAAACTATGCTAGAACTCTAGGATTATCATTGATCTTCTCTTGAACGTTATTGACTCTCATTGCGATTATCAAGTTGTGTTTGACTAGATATTGACTTGACTTGGTCTTTTTCATTTATAGTTGCTCATGTAAAAAATATATATAATAATAATAATAATAATAATAATAATAATAAGCTTTTGGGGTGCTACTATATGTACCCCCCCTCCCTCACTCACACAAAACGTCATATCATAGGGGTACATAAGCATTATTACACTCACATTGGGGGTACACAAACCAATTGGGGGGGTACATATAGAATTTCCCTTGTTTGATAATACATATTCAAGATCGTAAGAAACTTTAAGATGCAAGATGCGAAATATGACTCCCAACGATTGCCTCTAAAATTGCAACCAAAGGGAACTTCAAAGGATGAGATTTTAAAATCCAAAATTAAACTGATAAATCATGATGGGACACAGCTATCATGAAACATCAATGTTTTTGATGATGTGGTTATCCTTTTGAGGCAATATAAATAGGGTTTAATCCTTGTCATTTCATAACCTTTATCTTCAAATAAGTCCTAAGGTGTCAAGAGTGATAGTGTTCCGGTATGTTCTATATTCGTCTCTTCGCTTAATATTTAACTTCATCGACTATGGATACTTTGTGGATCAATTCCTTCTTGCAAACCAAATGATGAGAGTTGTTCTTTTTCTAAGCAACAAATTGATTTGTTAAGATCAAATCATGGGTTTCTTGTTGCTACCGTTTTCGACCTTACGATTCAAGGATTAGGCTAGACTTTGTTTTTCATGCATGAATTTGCTTTCATGAGTTTCCTTTTACCCTTGATCTTAAGTTTCCTTTACCTAATTGATTTATGAGTTTTTCGAAGTCATTATGCTCGCTTATGTCCAATGTGTTGGATCTATACGCTCAATAATCATTTCAGAGTGATGTTTGCCAATAACATATGATCATATAAGGTCACATCTTTAGCAAGTAGTCACTTATTGGTCTTAATAATTATTATTTATTAAAATAATATTTTCTAAGAGAGAATAACTAGTAACTCATAATGTATGATTTATATGTTATGTACATCTTTTTGGACCTATTGTACTCCATTTATTTAAAGTGAGTTTATATAAATAAAAGGTACATATGCTAGTGTATTATAAGGAATGGAATACCACCATGATTTGACATTTGAGGTCAAAGTCGTATCTTTCTAGTAAATAGGAGAGGTTGCTTGTGAAACAACTTCTTACACATCCAAGACTCTTTCCTTTATCCTATGCTTTAATTTATAAGGGTTGGTGCTTACTACTTGCATGCAAGGTTGTAAAAAACGCCGAAGTTAGCTAGTTGGTGGACTGAAGTTAAGTGATTAATCGGTTAGACACAGATTAATCGGGGACTGTTAAGACCGCTGTCGTACACGATTTAAACAAATAAAAATAATAAATAAACTGCTTTATTGCACTAACATGTAGTACAGGTAAGCAGGGTCGGATCCTCAGGGACACATCCTAATGTTTACACCTCTTTGCGATAAGGTGTGATCTAATTCTTGATGAATGCAATAAACATAAAAAGGGGGGGGGGGGTATTTCTGAAAATTAAACTAATAGGAATTGAAAATGACAAAAGAATAACTAAATTTAAAGTGGTGAAAATTCAAATAAAAGAAAGCAATTCCAGTTTCGCGGTGACTCCCCTAATCATATAATTAACCTTCAACACAATATTTGACTATGCACTTGTTTAAACTGGTACTAAGGTTCATTAACAAGATCTAATGACCTTTATTACAAAAATTCATTTAATCAAAATAAGTTCTTTGAGTTAAATCTAACTTTTTACTAAATTAACCAAACAAGCTCTTAATTAACAAAGAAAAGTTGCATTAGACACAGTGTAATTCCCAGTAAAGTTCAATACCTCTCATAAGCTCGGAGGCGTTAAAACTTGTTTGATCATTTCACATTAGAATTAAACCTAAACTCAGAATTAATCTAATACTTCTCACTTTTTACTAATTAATCTAGAAAATTACGGAGCTAAACAATTAGATGACTGGAATATTTCACAAACAATTTAAGTGGCCAACAGAAACAGAAATCAAAAACCAAACACTCAATTTAACACAGAATTGATCAAACTAAACAGTAACCATAGTCAAACATAGTGCGTAATGATTAATCATACGAAAAGGTTACGTCTTGAGAAACTGAAATCTGAGTTTTTAGCCTGACATGGCTAAAAACGGATTACAAACAGTGGAAATAGAATCTAAACGATAAATCTTACTAAACTATGAACTAGAATCGAATCGTCTCCTTTAGATATGCGTTCTTCACTTGAAAACCTCTGAAAATCGCCTTTGAATCGCCAATCAGGGTTACTGGAAGAGTATCAGGCTGTATTTATACGTCTAGCTGTCAAAACGTCGTACCTGCGATCACAAAGGGCATACCTGTGATCACATGTATCACCCAAAAACGTGTCATAGGATTTTTTTTAATGAAGTACGTTGCCATTTCGACGCAAATTGACCAACATGCGATCACAAGGGCACAACCTGCGATCACATGTTTCTTTTTTTCCTCAACTGATGAATTTTTGGCTCGACAAAACCTCGAAGGCAACCTGCGATCGCATGTTACTTTTTTTTGGCTCTTTTGATCGTCGTTCCTCCTTCCAAGCAGTTCTTGATCATTTCCCGGCATCCTTCCTTGGTCTAGACTCCAATTAAGCTCCAAAGCATCCACAAACGCATCCCGAACTTGCGCAATCATCAATGTGCTCCAAATGGCACTGAAAAGTCATAACAAACGTGAGCAGTACGGGCATTCTTCAAAATAATCATGAAACACGAAATACATAAAAATAATCGGGAACTAGTTAGCTTTTTATAATGAAATACGTAGGAAATTGTGCTAAAAGATGCATATAAAACGCATCTAACAGGGACCTTAAATTGCTATTTCGTTGAATTTTAAAAATTTAAAGATGACTACTACCATAACAAAGTTCGTAAATACTACTGATATCATAACAAAAATAGGTTAATATGATTAATACAAGACTAATAATTCCTCAATAGTTTATGGTGAGATAGAACTTTTTCAAAGTGTTAAAATTTCATCACTTGCTATTCTTTCTCTCATTTTGTAGGGAGGGATTAATCGCTAGACGTATTCCAGTTTGTCGTGTAACGCCTAGGGATTAATAAGAGACTAATCGGGATGTGACATTCCCAAATTCACGGTCATTTTAAAAAATTCATTTATGCTTATTTAAAAATAAGAGTATCCATTTTAAAGAATAATATTGAGGAATTTGTTCACAGAAAACAAGATAAAGATATTATGAAAGCATTACTGAAGAAATGTATTTTGTTTATATTTAAAATATTGGGATATTATCATCAATATAGAAACATAAGCATAAAGAGACCTTATGTAACGCCCGGTTCATGGAATATATTTAATTCAAAAATTTATTCACTTTTGCATAGATACTTGACGAGTTGGAGGTCCCAGACTCGTCAAGTAGTAATGGAATTGGACGCGGGTTGTGAAGTCTACTCGACGAGTTGAGAGCCTAAACTCGACGAGTAGGACTGGTAGAGTGAAACCCTAATTTTCAAGGTTTTACAC